TAGAGCTTGTTGCTAGGAGCCCCGGTTGGCTCTAGACCGAATGCTTAGGTTCAAACCTACGGGAAGGTCCCGCTTGGTCAAAACCTGCATAACATGCATAATCTGGTCCTCTTGTGCTAGATCAATGGTGTAGTACTGTGGGTGTGTTGCACGAGTCATCCTTGCAGAAGCACTCATGCAAGGTGCTGCATCTTTCTTCTGCAAGTTCAGGGTTAAAGATTGCACGGCATACAAACCAAAATTCTGGTTAGGAAATAGAATCTCGTTTGTATAGTTGCGATACATCATAGCAATGCTCCCATCTTCTTTTTGCTTAAGCATATGAGCTTGCCAAAAATTATCGAAATCAATGTAAAGGCACTACTCAGTAATGAATGAAACTAAGGCATTTTCCAAAAGACCCATGTTAGTGGCAATGAGTGACCAAGCAGCTACACTCAATGTCACCGGTGAGAGTGAACACTTCCAACCATTGACTTATCATCAATTTAACAGGAGAAACTTTCTTTCTTTTGACCATGGCATACATCAGTTTTAACTCATCTATTTTAACAGTGCGTGTGTCAGACCTGGGAAACCTCATCATCCCTAACCATTTATGTATGAAGCGTAGAGTGAGGTTATGAATATTATTAATTCAGGGACGATAAAAAATCGGTGTTCCCAGAAATTTCCCTCCAAAATTTTATTTTTATCAAAGTCTTTAATTGGCAGAGTTTTATGTCTATGACACACTGTGCATCAAAACCAAGAAGAAGACTTAAATCTTTCTAGGGAGAAGAGTACTCCTTCCCAAAATCTATAATCTACCCCTATGTCCATGATTTTTCAGGGTATGGTCAAAAATCTAGAACTAGACTCCGAGACATCCCAAAAATCTTCCCAACCAACTACGTAAAATATTAAATCAAATTTGGCATCCATACCTGTTGCTTGAAGCAGAGGAGAATCTTACATGTTTGTTAGTGAAAACTTATGTGGCTTCAACTTTAGGTAGTTTTCTCTCTCTTGGCCAAATTGCCAATGGAGGTCTGCTTCTTCCATCATGATGTTGGTTGGTGATTGTTCATGGAGTGTCTTGGCTCCTGTGGATAGTACATCCACTTGCATGCTAGAGCCTGCTTGATCTGAAGGCATGTTCTTGGTGGCGTGAGAGGATGACAATTGGGAGAGCTTGTTCTTGACGCTTCTCCACATACTGCAAAATTTCAACAAGAGAACAACAAAACTAGTGGAATGGATTAGAATAATTGTAAGTGGTTTAGCCATCCTGGAATTAGTTGTTCCTGCGCGGTATGGTTGTCTCCACAGACATCAGCTTTGTGGGATCTAAGAACTTCACAAACATTCTCGTTTCAATATATAAGACTAAAATATAGAGGCTTTACTTGATGAGAAAACAAAACACCCTTGTGGTCTACTAAGTTTTTTCTAAATGCATTTGCAAAAAGTAACATGCTAAAGGAAAAATAAATCATGAAATTTGGAAAAGTAAATATGGATAACTATAGATTTTTCTTCCTGGCGAGGGTTCAGTGTTTTGAATCTGCCGAACCGGACTTCTCTTTGTATTTTAGTTTTCCATAGATGCATGGTCCAATCCAGGAGATGAAGACTGGGTCAGTTGTACTTCCTTCTCACGGCATACCATTTATATCTTGGAGCATTGTTCTGGTCTTGGCTTGAAGGCGAATCGCTCCTCCTTACCGTTGATATGGAACAGGATTTCTCCAGCTCCAACATCAATTTGTGCATTTGTGGTGCTCAGAAAGGGCCTCCCAAGAATGAGGGGCATCTTTATGTCTTCCTGCATATCAAGCACTACAAAGTCGACTGGCACAAAGAAATTTCTTATTTTTACTGTGATATTTTCGATGATTCCTGAAGGGTAGCGAACCGATTAGTTGGATAGCTGTAGGCACATTGATGTTGGCGAGAGTGTTCAATAGTTGAGTTTGTAAAGATGGCTTTGGGCATGCCACTGACGCTGGCACCAAGGTGTGGGGGATATACCCTCGGTACCACAAGATGGTACATGGCCCGCACCATCCGAGGTGGCCCGGCCCGTAAGATCGAGGCATGCACGGCAAGATTACAAGTTGTACTAGATATTGTAATAGTACCAAATAGGATACTTTACTTATAACCCTCCTCCTCCAGACTATATAAGGAGAGGCAGGGGTCCCCCTCAGAGGACACCTCAATCAATACAGAATAATGAGACACAGGACGTAAGTATTACGCCAACACGGCGGCCGAACCTGTATAAATCTTGTGTCTTATGTCTCTGTAACCATCTGGTTCCTGATTACACGCACCGTCTACCGACAATCTACCATCACGGGCACCCCCCTCGGTGGACTGCCGACCATATTTCGTCGACACAAGGTCACATAGTGCATGCTCAAAGTTCTAGTTTCCAATCAAGCAATCAATAGTGGGGCATCCTTCTTTACGGGTGATGTGTTTAGGATGGCCACACTACATTCCTCTGTTAGCTTGATCACTACAGTGTGGGCGGTGGTCTTTTGTTGTTCAGAATATCTCTAAGGTACTTTGCATAGGTGGGTATCTGTATGGCATCTAGCAGAGGGATATTGATATATAATTTTTTTAATTACTTCCATAAACTTACCAAACTACTCGTTCACTTTGGATTTTCGATTTCTACGTGGAAACGGTAGGAAGTTGATGTCGTGAAAATCATGCTGCATTTCCTGTTCTTGTGGCTCAATTTCTTCAACTTCATCGTTTTTCTTTTCTTCCTGCTGGTGCCTTACCTGCCCTTGTTGGATATGGAGGATAACGAGTAGACTTGGCACCTCTTGTGGTTATGGCGTTAACCTTTTCAGGGTTAGTGGCAAAAGGTAGAGCAGCAGCCAGCTGAGCTATTTGTGATTCTAACTTTTTACTATAGCTAAGTTGAACCTTTATAGCAGAAGAAAAACTATCCATTTTAGTATTTATATTTTCTAAAATCTTATCAGTAGAAGCAAGCTTTTTAGAAATGTTTATTACTACAAAACAAGTAATATATATGAAGGTGAGCCACAAGAACATGAAGGTGTCCGGTTCAGTAGTATACATACAATGCAGTGACTAGTGAGGCACAACTAAAAAATCATAAGTAATATATATAATGCACATGCACCCACACAATAGCAAAAATTCAGTAGTTTAGCCATTAACAAGTTAACAGATATATCACATAGACTAAATTACTTGCAACATACATAACATCAGCATGGTCTTACTAAGCTGAACTAATACTACTTTACTAGCATTTTGATTCAGACTCTCAAAGCCATGAACTGCAGCAGCCAGTAAGCCATCCTGTCATGTCCAAAATGAGAACCATATCATAGTCAAATAACAAAAGAAAGTGATGTAGGTCAGCAAGCATCTAGCCATGTTGACATCTACAAAATGGAACCGCATAGTCACAGAAGTAAAGGAAAAAAGAAAGTGCAGCAGGCGAGCTTTGAGCAAGCCATCTCAGTAATCCATGTCGTCAATGTCACACTCCTCTTCACTGCCCTCGCCATTCCAATCTGGTCCTCTGTAGTCTGCTTCTCAACCTAAAAAAAGTTACAGCAGATCCGCATATGCAAACAGAAAACGGATATGTGAGAGCATAGATTTAGCAGTAACCAAAAGAAAATTTACATGTTTATAGGTGAGACACCCTTCCCAACTTGCTGGGGATGGAAAAGAAAAAGGTTACAAAAACCATGTAAGCTTTATTCCTACTGTTATCCTAGAGAAATGTACAAAGCACAGTGTCACAAACTCAGGAATTACACAAAATTTATTTAGAAATCAGTAATTAATTCGATACAGAGTCTGACCAATTACAGTTTCCCATTGGTATTGGCTGCCTAATCCAACCTATTCACTAATTATTTTCCTAATTAGAGAGGAAGGAACTGGCTTGTGTTTTTGCTCAGGTATATTCAGAATTATTAATGAAACAGTATGTAAAGATTTGATGTCACTGGGCAATAGAATTTTGAAACCTTATATCAGCACATAGCACTGTTCCAGCTGAAACACTGTTAGCTGAAAAACATTGTTCCCAACTTCGCCGAAAAAATAAGCTGAAATACTGTTCCGGCTGATTTGTTGTGAGAGAAAAACATTGTTCCGGCTGATAAGATAAGTCGAAAAGTACGGATTATAAGACAAGCGAACAGGGCTATATCTGATTGCTAAATTTCCAATCATTGCTAAATATGACAATTAAAGAGGATGTGGGACTGAGTTGCTTCTTCTTCTTGTACAGCAGGCAAAAGAATTGCTCAAATTGCTGCTATTGACGCACATGGAACAATAGCTACCGGACAGACAGAGATGCAAAAATGAAAACTCGAGAACGGCTGAACATTACCGAGATTAGAGCTGATCCAGAGCTAGGCAAAACCTTGGGGCTAAGGCAGCGGATGGATTTGGGAATTCGACGGAGAAAAGAGAAGAAGGAACATGGAAGCAAAAGCAAAACCCAATCAGAATCAGGATGGGTAAGCGAAGGAAGGGGAAAGGCGACAAGCAAACGACGACGAGGAGCAAATAGCGTCGCGAAGCCGCTGAGCCCCAGCGCGAAGAAAGCAAGGCACAACACAGCCCGCTGCAGCGGCGCCGGCGCCCACCCGATCCGCCGCCGCCAGCGACCACGTGCTCATGCCTCCGGTCGTAAGGAACTTTTACATATAATGAACATAGAAGATGAAGACATGATACTCTACTTGCTTCATGGGATAAATGCCAATTTATTTACGGTAAAGAGTTACCAATCAACAGCACGAGTAGCGAGCTTAATGCATCAGTATAAAAAATCCTAAGCGAATCAGTTATTCAGTTCACCTTCACCATGCAATGCAGCACTACCATTTACATCCAGGCATCCAGCAGCTGGTTTAAGCCTGCTCGAGAGAAAAAAAAAACATCCAGGCATCCAGCAGCCCAATACGTAAAGAACAGAGGAAATATGAGAAGAATGGGACATGGCTGTCACAGCAATAGCAGCAGCCGCTGCCGGCCAGCCGCCGCTCGCCGCACTCCTGCAGCCCCTTGCAGCAGCAGCCGCTGCCAGTCTGCCACCGCACGTCGCCGCGTGGCACTCCTGCAGAGTGCAGCCCGCCGTTGCCGCCGCCCCTCGCAGCGATGGTCCTGAACTCCCGGTGCTGCCCGCACTCCAGCCGCCCCTCGCCAGTCCTAGTAGCAAAGCACAGCCGCCGCCGCCACCAGCACTCGAACTCGGAGAGGAACGACCGAACGAGACTATAAGAGAATGGCTATGCTCGCGATTCTTCCAATCGGCGTGTGTTGACTCAGCAGAGGCTGCGCGTGATTTGGGTCGAATGGGATGTAATGGAGTCGCTTGTGAAGAGGGTGATTTGGGAATTCGACGGGATAGTGTTGGGACTTGGGAGCGGACGAGGACAAGTGAAGCGCGTACCTAGCAATCCCGGCTAGACGGACGAACTGATCCGGCCGCCACGAGCATGGATCAGCTACCCGGCGGTCGGTCCTCTCCGCGACCGAGATCCTTTTCCCGATAGGTCGGGGAACTCCACGCGCTCGCTCGGTCGGCAGTTGGCCGCTTCGCCTCCGTCGAGCCCGTTCGCCGCCGCGCCGACCTCGGAGCTTCGGTCAGTTCGAGGGAATGAGGAGGGCCTTGGAGTTTTTTCAGCTAGATTATTGGATATGACCGAGTCACCCAAAGCGGCAACTGTTAGCCCATGTAAAACCCACAGACGAGGGTTCATCTCTAAGCAATCTCAAATCTATTATACAGATGGGTATAAAGATATATCATACAACCCATAGACAAGGGTTCATTTCTAAACTATTTAATACATTGCATTTAGGTATGATCAACTATAAATAATTTTTTGTATATCGTTGTATGACTAATAATTTTTTGTATACCGCTATAAGGCTATTTGATAGAGTCTCGGCCGCCGCTGTCACCGTCGAGGCGCCCTTGCTCTTCGTATGAGCAAAAACGATAGAAAAAGAAAGCGAATTAACGGGCAGAGGAGTAGAAAGGCAGGCCATTAATACTTGACACCTCCCGTTTCCTGGCCTCTTCTTCCTCCTCCTTCCCCTCCGCCATTGCTCGTTCCACAAGACATGTGTTGCATGCGCCAGACCTAGGGAGAGCTGGACAGAAGCGCAGGCTTCGGGCTCCTCCCATCCTCGCGGCGTCCTCTTGCTTGGGAGCGCAGAGATTCGGCTCTTCAGGGCTTTCACGCTCTGCGCAGCGCAATCTGGTTCTGGTGAGATTTCTGCTGCGGCACATCTCCCCTCCAGTTTTGTTTTTCCCTTGTTCCTGATTCGGTCGCCTTTCATTATATTGTGCTTTGGTCCTATAGATCTGTCTCGCCTGGGTTCCAGGATTGTTTTTGCTCATACGAAACCACAACCGCGACGAAGGGTCTCGGCCGCCGCCGTCACCGCCGAGGCGCCCTTGCTCTTCGTAGATCCGGTGACTTCCTTGCTGGCCAAGGCGCTCGACATGTTGGGCGACGAAGAGAGCGGAGTCCCTCACACGCGCGACCAAACCAGACCCCCGCACGCACGGGATCCACGCGCCGTCGACTCGGCCGTACATCGCTGCTGGAGCTGTCTTCTATGCATCCGAGAACGGGACGCTCCCGTCGTCTCGCGAGGCGATGCCGGTGCCGTCTCCAAGCTCGCACAGGGTCTTTTTCATAAAAGATGCAACGAAGAGACGGGGTTAAGGGACCCGTTGTACATGCCCTTAAGGTGGCAGATGAATTCCTGCGAGGGAAAATTTGGTGGGAAATACTTTCAATCAATTTTTTAAGGGAAACTAATGTTCCACATCTCTTGATTCTGGATTTCTGGTGCTTTTCAGTATACATACACATTCTAGCACAATTTTAAGAACAATAAATTCCTTTAATAGATGGGCATCCGATGCAGTACCAGTAGCAAAAACAAATGATGGGCATCCCATGCAGTCCTTATGTCTAAAAAATATACTACTAGATTTCGCTATGTAAAAGTTACTTTTTGAATAGTGACTACGTATATTGATTTTGTGATAATATTAATAATATGTACCAAATTATTGTATTTTAAAATAATGACTAATATTAATTTTAGTATTAACATTAACATATAAATGAAATTTATTTTTATATAACTAATGACATCAATTTAATGTGGCCAATTATATTACTTTTTATTAGTAAGACAAATATTAATGAAAAATAGTTTCTTGATATGAGTATCTGTGACCGTAATAAATTCAAATGAAAAGGTAGTCAACTACAAAGTTTCATAACTTTTCGAGATCGACAACTTTTGTTTTGATCATTTCTCCATCCGAGGTCGTTTGAAAATTTCGAATTTCAAATATGAGAAAATTCACGTGATTTTTTCTTGGATAGATTGATTCAAATGAAAAAGTTGTCAACTACAAAGTTGAATAACTTTTAGAGATCTACAACTTTTGTTTTGATCGCTTCTCTATATGAGATCCTTGACTACCACTACATATTCACTTATAACTATAGAGCATATGGATCATTTGGTATTACCTCCTATAAAATCCTGTGAATCAAATATTTCGGCATCAAAATGACTTCAAATGAAAATGTTGTGAACTAAAAAGTTGCATAACTTTTTGAAATCTACAATTTTATTTGGATTGTTTATCCATCCGAGATCCTTTACTACCACTGCATAACTTTTTCAATTTTAGTTAATTTTGCTAATATTTTTAAGTGTGAATGCAAAATTTTTAATTTTAGGTTTAGCTTGTGGGCCTGGATATATATCTGGCCACACTAATTCTACAATAATGATTTATCTCCAACTAATTTTAGTAAGTTTCACAAAAAAATAATTTGTGAATGTGCAGTTTTGATTTTAGAGTCTAGTTTTTTACATAGGGTCCATATTTAAATCTATCATCAAGAGCGAACCTATATGTATGGCTGCACACCAAAGTAAAAAACAATGCTAAAATTAAATTTTCACCATATTTATACCCCGTGTCTATGGATGGGAGTGGATTGGGGACATGACTCGAGCCATAAAAATAGGACCAATGGGTCATAGGGGCCGACCCTAAATTCTAAAATGGATCAATATGGCTAGAACCTATTGACCCAGTGGGTGCCATAGGTCAACTCACTCATCATATTAATAATCTTTTTCTTTAAATTATTGGTGCTCTTAATTTTTTCAAATAAATACATTTGATTATAACTTGTAAGATTGTCCATGCTTCGAAGTACGGTGAGGAATATCATATTTTGGAAGTGAAAATTGATAAAATTAAAATCATGGTTCACTTGCAAACTTATTTAATTTGGTGCATTGCTGATAATCTTAATATATTATTATGATATTTTTTAATCTTGTATCTTATGTTTTCTAAAAGTGTCAATACTATGCAATTATAGATATATCAAATTTTAAATATATCAAAATAAGTAAATTACAGAAACATTATTAATAAATGTGTAAATATTTATCAAGATATAATAAATTGAAATATATAAAAAAATATTTCGGTAGCTACTTAGGTAGGAAGAGAAGCTATTTATCAACAACTTTGCGGTGGGAACATTTGGTTATTAAGGAAGAATTAAAGTTTCAAGGTCCTCTAATATTGTATTTAATATTTATTTTTAATGGTTATAAGAAAAAACAGGTTTACTCCAGAAAAAAGATAAAAACAAAAAAAATCATGGAGCGGGGAGATACTTCCACACCCACGAAAGAGAAAAAAAAGGGAAAAATGGAACGGGCAGAGACCAGGACGTATGAAAAATGGGAACGGAATGAAACTGGACCCGGGGAAAGAAAAAAGAAGGAAATATTTTTTATAAAAGAAAAATCGTCTATCCAGAACCCCAAATAGAACGAGAGATTCCAATTTCCAACTTCCCAGCGCGCGCCAGTTCTCCTTTCCCTCCCGACGCCACTGCAAATACCGCTCAACCCGATGTCGCGATGCGCCGCCAGAGCTGCTTCGTCGTCCACCCTTGCCTCGGTGCCTAGGTCACGGAAGCACGGTTGACCTCCACCGGCCTTGCCGACCCCATCTCCATCCACCCTAGCCCCTTTCCCGACCCCGCCGGAGATCCACCGCCTGCGGCGGTGCGCCCCTTCTTCTCTCCACCAGTGTTGTTCTAGGCCTCGGCCTTTGAACACCAGGCTGCTGCTCTAGCTACCGAAAGCACGACAATACCGAATGAAGGGAACACGAAGGACGAAAAAGAGATATATATATTTATTGATCATGAAGACAATGGTCCTGTTGCCCCTTTACAAAGCTCACCCAGGGGGCTATTTATATATGACCGTATCTTTTACAAGGACCAAAATACCCCCATAATTGTTACGATGTCTGGGTATATTCTTCCTCCCGGGGGTAGCCTCCAGTCCAACTGCATCCGGCCTCCCTTGGAAAACGCCTTCCTTAGGCAGGCCCATGGAGACTAACCTCCGGGCCCCTCTGGCAAAGCGGTGAAATGACGAAACCCTGCAATTAGACGATTCACCCCACATCGGTTAGCTATGGACTTGCTGAAAGGTTCCTCTTGACCCCATACCGTGCTGACAATAGCAAGCAGATGAAAACTGCCGACACCTTTCGCCACAAGTTTCGCCATCTTACCCCTAGGAACGGGCGGGCGAAACCAAGGGTGGAAGGTCTCCGTGCCCTCACCCTCGAATCCCGGGTGAAGATTATTAAAGTCTATTGCCATACGTTTCGCTGATTGCCGATACGATCCCCATAGCGGAACGTTGGTCGAAACCCTCAATGACCTTTGGGCACGGATCAGACAGGATTGACGCTTGGCATTCGTCGTCCCTTTCGCCAATGGCCTTTTCACTTCCTGCGCGCGAAACGTTTGGTCGGTTAGCGTGAACATGTGGGGGCTTAGACCTTATGGCCTCCCCCAATAGTAGCCCCTCGGTAATCCCTCTCGCCGCTCGCGTCGAAAGGGACCACCGCGTTTTCGCCAAACGTTTCGACAATCGACTCCTTCCCCCAAGGTGCGAAACGCTTCGCCGACTATATTTGGGTTTTTTTCTTTTGCTATTATTATTTTTGTAGAACATTATTTTATTATTTCTTGGAAAGGCGGCTGATTACACTTAAATATTTTTTCGAATCAGCGCGACGCGCGAGGCAACGGCCAGCTGCAGTGCCTCTTGGTTTTTGTGTCGCGACCATTGGCATTCCGCTGGGCAGCTATATAAAGCCCCCCCTACGCTGGCTCACATTGCGCTTCCTCAGTCCGGGCCTCGACACATTTGCTCGAAATCCTCCTGAGGCTTTCGCCTTGCGTTTCGCATCCTGCCGGGATCCAGAGCTTTCGCTTCCTCTTTTGACAATGTAAAGTCTCTCTTCTTTCTATTGTGCTTTCGTAATTGCTTTTACTATTGTCATTTGCTTTTATTTTTCTTTATT